TAGTAAAAATTTAGCGAAACTAAAGGTTTTACCATTTTGCCAAATCCAAAATGAGTTTAGACAAGCAACCTTAATCAGAGTAATATAATTAAATTTACTGGAGAACGCTAAAGTCAATTAGATCATAACTGAAATAATATAGCCAAACGTAATCAAGAACGAGCTGCAAGTTACACTAATAAATGTCAAGAGTTACAAGGATTTGACTTTAGTCAGGTTAATTTTCAATTTTTTTTATTTATTATATATGCTATAGTGTAACAATAATTATTCAAAATCTAACATTTATAATAGGAGTTAATTCCATATAAATACAAGGCAGAGGAAAGAATTTGAACCAATATGTTTTATTCTTCCTTTGCAAAATTAATTACAGATTTTGATGTAATTATTAAGTGCCAAGCTTGTTATGCATTTCGTAAGAAAACTGTGGCTGGTTTATGTTCTTTGTGTTCTTTTTACGTCTTAGCAGATTGGTGGGAATACTTGTTGAATAAAAATTATATTCTTAGTGGTGAGAAACATTTCTTAGATTGAAAGACCCTGGGTCCAGATCAAGGGGAAGTACTTTAAGCTAGAGAGGGAATGCAAGATAATATGTTTCCCAATAGAAATTTAAAAGATTTACAGCTAATTTCATAATTCATGAACTATTAATAATTTTTCAGTCGCATTCAGTCGCAATATTTTCTAGTAATTTTATTATAAAATATTTTTAATCACATTTAGTCGCAATTTATTAGTAATCCACGAATTATGAAGTTAGTTGTAATAAAATTAGTTGCAAAACAAATATTTGGGTATAATCAATTGTGAGAAGGATAATTTGAAGCTATAAAGGCTTATCTAGGTGGCAAAGATACATTAGTATCAATTAAAACTGAAGGAGGAAAAACCTTTTGTTATGTAATTTGTGCATTAGTATTTGAAGGGATAACGATAGTTATTAATCCATTGAAGGCTTTAATGGAAGATCAAAAAGTAAGTAACAGTTGATAGTTACAATTTTTGAATTATGACTTACTTATATTTTATTATTAATTTTAAATAGCATGAGTTAATATGCTTAGGTCAGTGTTGTCATGAGACATTTTTGGGACATGACCTGAGACATTGGGACTTAATGTGGGACATTTTGGGACATAGTGTGGGACAGTCTCAAAATGTTTGGGATATCGAAAATGTACATCACTGGCCTAGATATACCTTGTGCTTTGATTTACGCAAACTCAATACAAGGCAAAAGTGAACAAGCCAAAATATTTGAAGAAATTGCTCTTAGATTTACTAAAGTGTTATTTATCACTCCTGAAAAACTTTGTTTAAATAGAGAATTTCAACATTTTATCAACTATATGTATAATAATGCAAAAGTTCAGTTTGTGATTGATGAAGCTCATTATATCTTAGATTATAGTAATTTTAGGTAAGTGGTTCATTAAAAATATGTTGCTTATATTTGTAAAGAAATAATTATTGTTATTTTTATTATTATTATTATTATTAATAAGGAATCATGGAAAAATTTAGGATTATTAAAAAAAAATTGGCCTATGGTTCCTATTATGCTTTTAACAGCTACTTGTACATATCAAGTTATTCAACCCTATAAATAATATGTATAAGAAAAGTATACAGAAATAATACGTTTAAAAATATATAATAAACGTAAATAAACAGTATAATAAATTCATAAATATTTCCGTATACTAGATACTGAAAATTGACTTTTTCTGTATGCAGAAAAATACGAAATTTATATGTCTAATCAGTATATTGTATACGTAACTTTACATAAATTTTATATGTCTAATCAATATATTGTATACGTTATTTTTGATTAGTATTTCCATATATTAGATACTGTAAATTGACTTTTTCTGTATGCAAAAAAAACACAGAATTTATGTTTAATCAGTATATTGTATATGGAATTTTGCATATATTTTTTATGTCTAATCAGTATATTGTATACGTTATTTTTGGTTGCATTTTTTATATCTAATCAGTATATTGTATACGTTATTTTTGGTTGCATTTTTTACGTCTAATCAGTATATTGTATACGTTATTTTTG